ATCGATCGGTCGTACCCCCCCCCCCCCCTAAACTTTTTTTTTATTCGCTCGCTCGCATCAGTTTTGGGGTTCCCAGAGGATGCCATCCATATCATCAAATGAACATGGCCTTACTTCAACTTTTACAAAAGAACAGAGGAACAAGAGGTAACCACGATAGCTGGCCATAGTGGACAGTGACGTTCATTCATAGTGAATGCTCCCCTTAATATGATTACTTATCGAGGTGGCTACACTGATCGAATATGCAAAGTGTTATTTTGTATTCATTCATTCATCTATCTATCTATCTTTCTACATATCGAGGAAAAACAACAGATCTAGTCCCATGTGTTAGAAATAAATGAGCAATGTGAAATATCTGCATAGAAAGACAAGCAAAATGCCAACACAACTGCAGGCAAATGGTATTTCTACGTAATTTCATTTCTACTCATTATTATTAGAACTCAAACAAGATTGGCTACAGCACGGAAAAGAAGCAAAATTCTTCGACCTTTTTTTGGGATAGCAGCTTATTAAGGAGCTGCTATCCCCAAAAAAGGTCGAAGAATTTTAGTCAATTAAGACATATGAATGGACCTTACCCACTAATCCAATCAATAACGTAGCTGTAGGGTTTTTACCAGCATGTCGACTCTTTTGTATGACAAAATGACGCTTGTGGCATGCTCGGTATCACCTTATTTTGAACACATAGAGTTCTTAACCAGTGTGTTTAGCCCTGTGTCGGTCAAAATGACTGTTGTGTACAGCAGAAAAGACTACGTGTCGCAGTTCATGTCTTGGCGCGGTCTTGTGTGTACGTGTTTGTCTATGATGACGTAGGACATGGGTGGGTCAAAGGTGACAGCCAGCTCACAGTCCACCTGTATCCTACATACAGCAGTAAGGTGAGTCCGCTATAGATATAATACGAAGCCTCCGTTTTCAAGGGGTGTTATGATGTTGCTATTTTTATTTACCTAACTGCTTGACTGTGATATGTAACTAATAAAAGCAATTGCATTGGTACATATATATCATAGACAGTATAGAATATGATTATATGTAAATATTTCATGATGTTCAAGTGTTTTAAGACATTAATTCCTGGTCTAGGTCTGGTATTACGTACAATGTATTAGCCCCAAAATGCAGCTAACTAACGGCTATGGGCTCTAGTGCTTTGCTGATACTGGAATTTCCCAATTTCAAAATAGATTTAATTCAGTTGATCTGTGAGCCACAGCGACCTTTGATTTCACACACGTTTTTTAAGTACTGCACTTTGAACTGCGCGCCCCATGCGGGGTATTTACGAAGTGCAGCACTGACCACGATTAAAACACAACAGTTCAAATTCGCGTCTCTCACGGATACTCAGAACACATAATTCTCCGGTGTTGAGCCAAATCTTTGAGCTGCCAAATACGTGAGTGGTCATGTTTTTAGGATTAGGGTTGGTGTTAGAGTTTGGGTTAGGGCTTGGGCTAGAGTTGGGATCATTGTTCAGGGCTAGGGTGGGACTTTAAACGGAAATGAAAAAGAAATCTACAGTGGGGGTCGCTGGAAGACAGACGTAGAATGTCCAGACTATGCATGATGTACAAAATGACTAATAAACTGGTGGATGTACCAACCACAAAGTATTTGATACCAGCCCAGAAAAGAACAAGAAACAGTCATGCTTTCAAATATCAGAGTTATCAACCAAGAATTGAGCTGAGGTGTTCAACAACTCGTATTTCCCCAGAACTATCGTAGACTGGAACTCGTTGCCACTAAGGACAGTTGGGACATCATCACTAGAAAACTTTAAGCAACTCCTGATGTAATTAAATGTGCAAAGATTGAGTGTAACAAGTCGTTCGGTGTGATATAGCTAACTGCCGCCGCGCCGCGTGCCTGCGAAGTTGGTGTGTTACGTCGAATGGCGGTTATACCGGCTATACAGATACAGAAGCTGGTGTGCTACGCCGAATGGCGGTTATACCGGCTATACAGATACAGAAGCTGGTGTGTTACGCCGAATGGCGGTTATACCGGCTATACAGATACAGAAGCTGGTGTGCTACGCCGAATGGTGGTTATACCGGCTATACAGATACAGAAGCTGCTGTGCTACGCCGAATGGCGGTTATACCGGCATTACTGATACTGATATAGATCTAACGATGTCAAAAGTTTTAAAAGTAGGAATCTTGTTTATTTACCCACCTTGTTTTATCGCCCTATCGCATTTAATTTGGAGTCTCGGCGGTGGTGTCTTCCACAGAATTTACTCTCTGTGGCCTTAACAAAGTTTATGATATCAAAGGGTGAAAATGTAGGCATCTTTTTTATTGGCCCGCCTGTGTTTTTTCTTCCCTATCGCATTAGATTTGGAGTCTGCGGATAATGTCATCCATAACATTTACTTCCTGTGGCCTTACTCATTTTTCATCAACACTCACGCCCATGTCCTGCTCGCGATTCTGCTAATGCTGTCTGTGGTGGGTATTTTAGACCCTTTCGGAATAGGAAGTACTGCTGCTTTTGTTTTCCTTGGCTCTCTTAGGCCACAGCAAGTAAATTTTATGGATGACATCCTCCGCAGACTCCAAATTTAAAGGTAGCAGCACACAGTATTAATGGGCGACCCGAGGAGTCTGTGACGCGGGTATAGAAAGTAGTGCAGCGAATATTCTTGAAGGCTGGGTAGAAAGCCTGATAAGAGCGTCAGTCAGATGTAAATTGTGCTGCGTGGTGTAGGAATGTATCGGGTTTGAGACTGTGTGATTTGAATTGTGAAGGTTTTGCAGTTCGTGTATAAATGCGCCGTATTGCGCAACTGGCTTTCTGGGTGAGTCGGCTGCAGTTCAGGTCACGTCCGTAGAGGGTGATTTCAAAGTGTACGTTACGAGCAGATACGCCGACAGGATTTTTTCGTTTCTAGATATTTTGTAGTTTGTACCTTCTTCTGAAACATATTCGATTTTCGTATTTGTGAAGTGCACCCTGCTATAATTCTTACCGCGTCGAAGTGAGTCATCTTGGGGTCCTTAACTATAGAAATCCCCATAGGGCGAAAACTGTGTTCTGCTACCTTAATGCGAAACTGGTCTAATATGACCGGCCCTCCCCCCACCGTAGATCTGGCTTTTATGTAGGTCAACGAGGCAATATATCAGGGAGGGACAGCTGTTTCCACCATGTTCATGGGTGATGCGTATTGGGCGGTACTGTACTACAAGCAGAACATCTGTCAGCTGTCCATGTTATTTTTATACTATTTGGTATTCAGTTTTCTGTCCATTTTTTCTTCTACTGGTTGAAGTTGAGTGGTTGGTTATAGGTAGTGAGCCTCCTTTGCATAGGATATTTGTGCTATATATACATGTATTGTTGTACACGTGTGCTCGATTAGCTAGGTTTCAGTTCTCAACAGTACTTCTTGAATGGTGGAGTTTCCTTGGATTTCTCGGTGTGGAGACCTCAACTGTGCGGTATGTGTTCTTTCCCCCTTTTTTTTTACAATAGTTGCGTTTTCCAGTCGCATGTCTTGCGTACTAACAGTGAAACGTCAAGTGGTCGGCGTTACTTTGCCTCGCAATATGTAGGATAATGCGTTATGGAAGGTTAAAAAAATCCAAATTTCTCTGTAGACACATTTGGGGATCTGGCCTAGCCTCTACCAGGCTTGGGGAGGCGGCTGGAAAGAGTAGAAATTGGCCAAATAGAGAGATAGCATGCCAAGGGAGTTTATCCGTTGAGAGAACATTTCGCCGCACCCCAAGCCTGTGCGGAGTCGCTACGATCAAACGGTGGTAAAATTGATTTCCTCATTATTCCAACAAAAGAACTATCTCAGCGCAGATCATTTAAACAATAAACCAACCAGCACGTCGTGGGGAGCCGCGCCGATGTGTATACGTCTGGAGAAGACAGCCGGCCGGTACTATGGTTAAACAAACTGTATATTGTCGGGAATGAAAAAAAAAAACTACTATAGTTATACTGATATTGGAAATAATATTAGTTACACTGATTATTGCCAGCTGCACCGCACGGTAAGTTTTTAAGTGTGCCGGGTGCGGCGCGGCCATAGTACCCCGGCGCGGCCATATATATTGTACCCCACGCCGCTAGCGACAGGGAAGTAATCTCCATGCAGATCCCTCTCGGTGGCAAAAAGACGAGAACAGAGAAGCTCCGCGGCCACCGACGGGTGGGGGTCAGGACAAAAAAAAAACGGCCATATATAAAAATGTAACGATCATTCCCCCACAACCTCTGCTTGGAGAGTAGCAGGGAAGCATGTGGGCTGAAAACGGGGTCTCCGATATCTTGATCGGCAACATGGTCGGGATGGTCTTGAATATTATAGTGTTCCCTTTTCTACTACTCTAGGAGTCCCTGGCATGCTATCTCTCTATTTGGCCGATTTCTACTCTTCCGGCGTTTTCAAAATGGGGGTTTCAAAACGATTGTCTGTGGTTCGCACCTGTAATTTATGATCAAGTGGTTAGTTAAAGAGTTTCCAAAAATTGTAGGGGAGGAGGTATTTTAGCATTTTGAAGTAATGTACCAATATTATGCGACACCCCCGTGTGTGGAGTGGTATCGTCTATAAACAGCTGCTATTGTCCACGACGAATGGACTATACCACACTTCCCTCAGAGGGGGGTTCGCATGTAATGTGATATGAGCAGTTTTGTAAGTCATGTAGCATTACTGGTATCATTGTTGTTAATGAGATGTCTGAAACCGTCAGTAGTTGTTATGCATCATATACTTCCCAGAGGTGTGGAATGTCAGAACTCGTTTTGATTCTTGGAGAGTCGCATATATATATATATATATATCGCGTATATATATATGTCACAGGGGAGATTGGAATCCAGGGGGATCCGGAATCTTCCTAGGGGAGATTGGAATCCCTATCTCCCATTCCTATCACCACTAATAGTATCTGAGTCTGATTTACATATTCACTTACCTATGCTAAAATTGATTGAAAGTTTAGGTGTGAAATGACTCAGTCTATTTTCCAAAGCATTTTGATGCAATCATAATTTCTCCTTTAAAATTGGAAATTGCCCTGTAAGAAATCCCACATGTCCCAGGACAAATTGGAATCCCTATCTAGATCTCCCCTAGGAGAATCTGGAATCCTCCTAGGAGAGATTGGAATTCAGATATTCAGATCCCAGTTTTGTACAAAAAAACTTGAATTCCAGTCTCCCCTAGGGGAGATTGGAATCCCTATCTCCCCTAGG